GGGGGAGTTTTTTAAATTTCCAATTATAATGTTACCCTCCCCAGACTTACTTTTAAAGATACATAATCCCTAAGAAGCTTAATTCAGAGTCAAATCTGATCTCCCTTCTCAAATCATCTCTGCAACCTACATAGAAGCTTCCTGTGCTGGCTCCTGGGAAGGAATCCTCTCGCACTTTTCCAGGAGCACGTATTTCACATTGCGTTTCTCCCACTGCTCCCAGATTGCTTCACTCTGGAGAGCAGTCATTAACCTTGTATTAAGTGTGTACGAGGATCCCTTAAAGACACCTCAGTCTGGTGAGCTTGATTTCCGCCACAGATTAAGAGCAATGTCAAAACAGTATCGTATGAATTTCAACACTTGCAGCTGTAGAGGGAAAAAAAGATAGAAAATAATGGTCTCCTCTGGGGGGAGGCAGGGGTGGGGGACATGGAAAGGACAAGGCTTTGTGGAATTCTTGGCGCTGTTGGGGGGGTGGGAATCTACCTCTACTACCTTTCCACTTTCTCCAGAGTGTTTCCAAACCTCTCCTTTGGAAGGGAAAAACAAAACAGTAAACCTAAAACATACTGATGGATCTATTCCAATTTGCAATTCACAACTAAACCCAATTTGACCACTGACCAGATACACAAGTTCTGAACTTGGAGTTTTCCAATGTGAATGCCTTCTTGCAAACGCTCACATCTATGAGACCAAGGATGAAAATAAAAGTAAACGATACCTCAATAAATGTTAAAAACGAGATGACATAGGCAGGATGGTACACGACATACACAAGATGCCTCCTTTCAGATGCTGACACTAACAACTAGCACGTAAATTAAAAAAAAAAATCAATGCAAAACTAAATATACTTTGTGCAATTCTAAAATGGTACCTTTTTTCACATGAAGCTGCGGCTGGCACAGGTGCTCCAGTTTAATTAAAAATTTTCTTAGGTTAGCAGTTCTTCTGGTTTATTTGCCTTATTTTCACCTATCAAGATTTTACAATTAAAGTTCAGGGACTGAACTCAAAACGTTCTCATACAGCTTTGGAGAGGAACAAAAAAAGATACAACTAAATTCCTGAAAACGTTTGACAGAGCCAGACACAAGTGTAGTTCTGAACTCCTC